GCAAATTATTGCCTTTTTATTGTGTTATTTTATTGCAATTAAAGTTGAGATTTTCACCAAAATAAAAAACAAAAATCAACGTTGAATTTACGTTGTTTCGACGTTGTTCTAACGTCGTATCAATTACATATCAGCCGAATATCGCCTATTCAAAGTTGAAATATGGTTGATATGTAGTCGATAAGACGTTCGAACAACGTTGAAACAACGTAATCATCGACGTCGTAGTTTTCAACGTCAGATTTTGTTTCCAATTTCACTTAATTTCAACAGTTTCAACGCGCCATATTGTTTTTTTTCAACGTTATTTCAATGGGATTGTGCCTGCCTCAATTTAAGAATTTCATCGGTATGTATTCCTAAAAACTGTATATTTTTTACTCATTTTACTTGAATAATATCAATGAATATAGAAGACGTTTATAATTTTTTTTTTTTAATTTGGGGGGGGGGGGGGGGGGGAATAGAATCCACTTAGTTTTGTCAATTTCCTGAAAATTTTGTCAATTTACAAAAAGTTTTTTTTTAATTTACTGAAAGTTTATTTACTTTGAACCAGTTGAAAATTTAAGTTCCATGTTCTTAATTTCAAATAATATAGTAATGTTACTGCGAGAGAAAAATAAATGTTGTTGGCAACCAATATTGTCCTCTGGTTGGATGCTTTATCGAGATCATTGACATATATGAGAAAATGAAGAGATCCGAGTATAGAACCGTGACGCAAGCCACAAGTAATGTTTAGTAACGTTGTTGTTGATTTAGCGTTAATGTGTTCATATTGAGCACGGTTATTTAAACAACTCTTTACGCATTTTTAAACGACTCCTGTCATTCGACATAGTTCAAGCTTTTTAATAAGAATTAGATTGCGAATAGTTTCGAAAGTTTTTGATTCTCTCTAAACCTTTTGAAAATTCATTAAGCAATTTTTAGTTGATCATGAAGACCTCCCTGAATAACCCAAGGAAAAAAAATTAAAAAAATTTTTTTTGAGATAAAATTCATAGCGACGTAAGAAATTACAAAGACGTTTCCGTTCATATCGTCGAATTCTTTTTAGTGTTGTGACCAAAACTAAAAATTGTAACTAACTAAACTAAAAATACCGTAACTAAAATTAGTTGACTAACTTTTTAGTTAACTATAATCAGTCGACTAACTTTTTAGTTAACTAAAATTACGCGACTAACTTTTTAGTTAACTAAAATTACCCGACTAACTTTTTAGTTAACTTAAATTAGTCGACTAACTTTTTAGTTAACTAAAATTACCCGACTAACATTTTAGATAACTAAAACCAGTCGACTAACTTTTTAGTTAACTAAAATTACCAGACTAACTTTTTAGTTAACTAAAATTAACCGACTAAGCTTTTTGTTAACTAAATATACGCGACTTTGTTTTTAGTCCAACTAAAGAATTTTATAAATATATAATATAAATAATTTGGATACATGATATCATTTCTATTAGAATTTTTGAATAAGATTGCGAATGCATAATCATTTTATCGCATAATACCGCAAAAATAAAAAAATATCAAAATAATTTACTTCAAGAAAATATTATAAACAAGATACTTCAAGAAAATTTTTCATAAAAAATCCAAAAAGTAAACATCGTAAAACACAAATATCTATAGAATTGAATAAGCTACCAAGGCCAACGCAAAGGGTTGTAAGGATGGATTGGTTGGTTTCGTGTGTGACATCCCATCAATAAACTTTTAGCTCATTTAGTAAGCCAATTTGACTCTTTTAGATAAGTAAGTTGGCAATTGTAGATTTTCAGAACAGTCAGTTGGTAAATAAAAACAAGAATTTTTTTTCCCTATTTCTAGTAAGTAAAATTTTAACGGCACTCTCTACGTGTTACCTACTTGTGCCGGCCCTGTAAACTACAGTATATTACAATTACTTGGTTTTATTATGTGCCACTTTTTTGGATCCATATTATAAAGGTTTTCAATTCTTTGAAAAGTACAAGGGAAAAAAATTTTTTAAATGTGTTAGAGAATTTTTGTCGAAATTTCATTAAACAACAAAAGTTTGTGATATAATTCTATTTAAAAAGGTGACAAACAAATTTAAAAAATTTAAGTTATCATTTGACGATGAAGATGATATTTCCGGAAACGATAGTGACAAATTAATAAGTTTAGATTTAAAAATAGAAATTAGTGGTTATATAAAATTGTCAGTAAATGAGCAAAATGTTTTTACACTTTTGGTATCAAAACTAACATGTATATCCAATAATGTATTGTATTTCAACAATGATTTTATGTACGCCTGCTACCAGTGCACTAAGTGAACACCTTTTCTCTGAGGCATTAAACACTTATCATGCAAAGCGAAACGTATGTAAACTTATACTTATTTATGCAAAGCAAAACAGAATACTAACTGAATGTTTTCAAATATTGATGTTTTTGTACGAAAATTTGGAATTTTTTAATTTAGTTTAAATTCATTATATATAATACTGAAGTTTTTTCTTGTAATAAATATTTTTTAATATATTTATTGTTCTAAAAGAGTAAAACTGATTTTTTTTTTTGATACAAAAAATTAAAAAATTAATATAGTTTTTTAAATTTAAAATGTGTTAAAAAAAAAAAGATAAAGAAAAAATTGAAAATTAAAAAAAGTTAATGTGTGATTTTAATGTTCTTGAGCGTGCGGTTTTATTATAATGTTGCCTAAAACAGCAAACTTTTTTACCTTTATTATTTTAATAGTTTGGTTGTTTGTTTTTTTATATTTATTTATATATTCTTTAGTATTTTTTTAAACATCTATCTAATGAAAAAATATAAAAATAAATATAATAAAAAAGTTATTGAATTTTAATTTATAATTGTTTCGACCCGGTTTTACACGTATTTTAAAGTGCTTAAATACTACGTATTGCATTTTTCAAGTAATTAAAATGTCATAAACAATTTCCTGGTTTTAAAAGCGACCGCAGTTACTTAATAAAATGTTTTCGTTATTCAACAGTTAAGTATTATTTAATACATTTTATACACTATTCAACAACTTATATTGCGGATATTGCATTCAAAAATGCAAATACCAATTTTCCTTTTAAATTTTGCAGGTATCGCCAACCGACAAACAACTATACTCTGAAAGCAAAAAAAATAAATTCATAATAACTTATTTAACGATTTTCTTTTAGGTTCATGTCAATACTTTCGCCTGCCTTACTATAGTTTTTGCGGGTTGTAATAGCCGTTAGGAGAGGTTGATATTTGAAGAGGTGGGGAGGGGGAGTCATAGACTTGTTGTGAAAATTAGAGATTGAATCTATTCCTATAATACAGCAGGGGACAGGGCTGTACTGAACAACGAAGACGTAGGGGGAGGGGGTGCAAATGAAATAAGCTTTTTTACCATGAAAATCTCACCAAAGTAGGGCTTTTTTTTATTTAAAAGCCAAGTTGCTGTTTTAACCGATTGAGTCTCAAATTTTCTAAATTACCGACAAAACCGACAGAATGTTGTAACCCCGGTAAGGTGCCCATACTCACGTCGGTACGGCCTTTGCAGGAGAAATTATTTTTGATTTGCGATTGTTATTGCACACTTCCTATAAGAAGCAGCACATAAAAAATATAAGTTAAAGGTTAATAAGCGTACCAAATTTGATGTAATTGACTAAAGGGCATTATTTGTATATTCCATTCTGATTGGGTGTTTATAAGCAGTTGCAACAACTTCATAGGCAGTTGTCTCAGAGCTGGGAAAAAATTAAAATAATCGAATTTTGCTTAAAACATTTCTTTTAACTAACAGTTTAGTTTGACTGGGCTCTAGGATTCACAACTAGTAAAGTGTTTAATTTCGATAAAATAATATTTATCGCCTTAATAATGCTTCCTCGTGTGTAAAATTTTTATGCGAAAGATTATTTCTTTTTTCAAGCACTAAATCTTGCTTTAGTCGACTAAATTTAGTTACACTAAATATTTAGTCGACTAATTTGAGTTAACTAAAAAGTTAGTCGACTAATTTTAGTTAGACTAAAAAGTTAGTCGCTTAATTTTAGTTAGCTAAAAATATAATCGGGTAATTTTAGTTAGCTAGGAAGTTAGTCGGGTAATTTTAGTTAACTACACGCTTAAAAATAGTGTTGAGCCGTAGGCTACATTATGTCGCGTAGAATACAACAATGAGTGTCGACGCCGGCTACACCAACACTATGTCGCTTTAAAAGCCACACTCAGTGTTGCATTCGTAAGGCTACATAAAATGTAGACTTGAAAGTCACACTTTCTGGCCTTTAATGCGACACTTTTGTAAAAAATGTTTCGACATAATTGTTGCATTTAATCAATGGCTGTATATATATGCTCTTTTTGCGCGACAAAACTGTTGTAAAAAAACCTCAAAATTAGTGTTGCGCTAAATGTAACACTATAGTTTAAACACTAATCTGTGTTTTTCTAGACGTTAAAAATGTTTTGATTTTTTGTAAGTATATTTATGCGTGATTTATTCCGCCCATTTAGGTCTTCATGTACTATGTATATAACCGGACGCAATTAAATAATTCAAATAAAAAAATGCTATTTATATCATATAATAAATTACACATTGTCATTTAGAGTCATATACTAAATTACACATGTATATTATATTGGCTTACAAGAAATAACGGAACGATATCACAATAAAATAATAAAAACTGAAATATAAATTTTATTTTAATTCCGAGTCAATGCATTGTTATAGTATTTCTTTTAAGTATATAAACTCAGTTTAAACTCAAATTCAATTCAGTGAATATTAAATTAAAAACAAGTCTTAAAACATTTATATCAAAAGCGAGTTAAAACTTTGAAAAATAGATACCGCCGTCAGAGAAGAACCGTATATCAACATTTTGTGTTTTTTTTTTGTCCATTATCAATAAATATTCAGGAGTGTGTGTTTCATAAATATACCACAACAATAAAATTTTAGGAAATATTTAAATAATCAGTCGAATTTTCTGAAAGAAAGACTTTGCAAATTAAAATTTGAAACTTGATTTTCTTGGAAACACAAAAAAAAGACATACGGTCTCTTGGTTCTCGGCTGACGATATAACAAAAATAAACAAGAAAGTGATAAAAATACTTTTTCGTTTCACAAACATATTGCTTAATTTAATCTTAAACTTTTGACAATACTTTATTTAAAAGGAATTGACGATAATTCTTTTGTTGTTTATTCCAAGCAAATTTCCCATAAATCCATATACACAAATAAGTTCATGAGGAAAATTGACATTAAATACATGAGACTAGCAGCAACTCAAAAGCAAATCCAATACTCGGTATGGCTTCCAACCGTATAGCTGTATTATCGACTTATAATTATAGTTATAATTTAAATTATAAATAGAGTGCTGAAACACTTGAATAAAATCAGTAGAAAAACTTTCTCCTTCTTCAATAACTCAAGGGAGCTTTCAAGACTGAGGTGTACCTAAATGTTTAAGTAAAATTTTAAAAATGCAGAAAATTCAAAGCTCAAAAAAGTAATACTTATTGATTATAAACCAAATTTAACTTTAAAAAAAAATGCATAGAAAAAACTTACATCCATTTCTCTATAAAATAAAGCCAAATTCTTGGACTCTTCTTGCCCTTCTGTGGAGGTGCTATCATAAGAAAAGGGAGCGCCTTAAATGCAAGCAAAGTTGCATCTTCTAAATAAAAATAAAAATAAATCAGGGAACAACTTGTATATACTTATAAACCTTTATAGGTAGATTATAAAAAAACATTCTTTTGGAGTAAAAGGGTATATTACATAAGGAACTAATAAATGAAATAAGATGAGAAAGAGAAACTTCGCACTTTTGCAGATTGGCACATAGTCAAGTTGCAGCAGCTTAGTACTTATGCAGACTGACAATTATGTTGTAAAATTTCTTATTTTATAAAGTTCTTATTTATTCATTCTCCCCACTTAGGGTAGTAGACATATATATACCTCCATTATATTAGTCTTCTGACAAAGTATTTTTGAACATTGAATCTCTTGCTAGTAACAGATGTTTTGTTTGCAAGTGTTAAAACCCATTAAAATTGTAAAAGCCATCATGCAATGTAATATTACTTGATACCTCTTCAATGAAATGAAACTATCTTTGAAATTCCCTCATTAATTTCATATCTAGGAGGGCCCATGTTGCATGTTTCAGAAGTTACAAAAAAAGAATTTTTTTTTAAGTGTTTATCTTGTTTATAAAATGTGTCAAGAAACTTTAGTGGCTCATTGCAATGTATAACACTACTTTCAAACTTACTCTTAAACAATAATAGAGTGGAATCTGCTCTAATGTCATTGAAAACTGATAAAGCAGCATTACCAATATCATCGCTCAAAATAACAACCGATTAATGATCAGCATGATGTTTGAAGAAATTTCAAAAAATTCAAGGAAAACCTTTTTTTGTGAAATAATTACATTTTATTGGCAAGCCTTGAAAAACTATTTGAGCGCTGCAATATAGGAAACTAATGATTATGAAATTACTGTTAACAGAAACAATTACTTCAGGTATAATGTAATAAGGAACACTGCTGCTTGTTCACAATGAAGAAACTAACAAAGGATCAATATATTCTATTGTTTTTTCAGGATAAGTGTAAACTTGATAAGTAGAATTCTCTGGGAAACTAGGCAATGAATATTCTGAAAAATTAGGCAATAAATCGTTACGATTATCATTTAATGGATTACTATATATTTTGGCTCAGGATTTTTATCAATGAAATCATTATCAATATTATGGTAACATTTTACATGTCTAATTAGCGACATATAAGCTGTACAGGTACATTTACAGCCATTCTGTAAACATCTAATTGGATAAACAATTTCGGCAATACTATTATGACGTTGTAGATGATTTTGAAAAAAAATCAATAGTTACGTAAAAGTACCATATATATAGCAAATAAACATTTTAATAACTTTTATCAGAAAAAAAAAAAAAATATATATATATATATATATATATATATATATATATATATATATATATATATATATATATATATATATATATATATATATATATATATATATACACAATATATACATATTATAGCACTATAAATCATAGTTGCAATTGTGCATTTATTGCATATATTAATATAATTTTATTAGAGTGCTTTCATAGGTATGATGAAATTATTTAATACATTATTTCAACATGCAACATGACTAAAAATCATAATCTTAACTAATAAAAATCATTATTGAATGATATATCATGCAATAATGATTTTTATTAATTATCTCTGCAAAAAAAAAAAGATATGTACATAATATAAAGTATACCTTTATGGTATACATATGTATCTAGTTGTTAACATATGATAACTAAAATAGTTGTTGTTAATATAACTAAAATGCTGCTATTTTAACTAAAATAACACTATTATCATATTTATTTGATAATATTTATGTATTAAATATTGTCCATTTTGTTATAACATAAAAAAATTAACTTTAACAACATTAACATTAACGTTTAACGTTAACAATATTATTTAACAACATTATTTACATTTATGTTAACAAATTACTTGTGTTATGTTAACAGATTACCAGTTAACTGGTAATGTCATGTGATTTTATTTAAACCTATATTTTACAAATTTTTTTTAGACTAATGTTATTTTATATAATTAATGTTATTATGTTATAATTTTTATAACTTCATAATAATGTTGTTAACGTAACTAAAATAATTGTATTAACATTTTAATACAATATATATAAAATAATAACATTAGTCTAATTAAATAAAGTCACACAACTAATTCATGTAGTAATGTACAACAAACCGAAGGCTTGGTGTTAGATACAGTGAAAATTCACTGTACTTAAGGTAGCGTTTTTCGCTAAATACAGTGAAAATTCACTGTACCTAAGAAAGCGCTATTCGCTAAATACAGTGAAAATTCACTGTACCTAAATAAGCGTTTTCGCTAAATACAGTGAAAATTCACTGTACCTAAGGAAACGTTTTTCGCTAAATACAGTGAAAATTCACTGTACAGTGAAAATTCACCGTATTTATCAGAAAAGCTTTTAAGTTACAGTGAAAATTAGTTTAAAAAGTTACAGTACAGTGAAAATTAGTTTAAAAAGTTACGTACAGTGAAAATTCACGAGGAAACTGTTAAAATAATAAAAATGTTGTTATTTTGAAAGGGAAAAGCATAATGCTCATTGAAATGTATTAGCTAAGTAACATAAAAAACCCAGGCGAGGAGTTGTTAATAGAGTGGAAGTAATTAAGGAATATATCTCAGAAAATAAAATGTCATATATATTTTTTTACCGTATATATATTAATTTTGTTGCAGGAGTCCATTAAATACTTATTAATAAAATGTTATTTATAAGTTCGCACTTATGATGATGCACACTCATGGCAGTGTTTGCAATATTTTTGTCGCACTTAATCCACTTGCACTTATGCCATTCTATGCAACTGCATCGCACTTATACCAGTTCGCACTTAAGCTGATGTCTATAAGTTCTTATGGTGCACTTATACTGATTCGCGCCTATGCCAGTTCGCAGTAATGACAGGTTTTGCAACTTCTTCGGTCTTAAGATAAAAATCAAATTCAGCTTTAAACCAATTACTAAGAAAAATCTTTTAGTTATTTTTTAAATTAAAAGTTGTGAGTTCCAGTAATGAAACAAGTAATAGTCGTTTTTAAAGATAGACAACAGCGGGAAATTAAGTCAAGCTATCTAGCAACACTAAAACACGACAACACATTGATTACTTACAATAATAACACATAGCATCAGATATTTAACTTATAATAAATATAATCATTTAATAAAGTTAATATTTGTTTGTGGTCAAATAATATTTTATGATTATAGATGTTGTAAATATTAATTAACCATTGTTTTTTTTTTTCCCCTGTTTATGTATATAATATTAATTTTTTCTTTTAAAATATTGATTTATTTTTATTATAATTTAAACCATTTTTGTTGCTATTGGTGTTGATAATTTATAACTATTATCTTTATAATTTTTATTTGTATCACTAATATTATTTAATATGATTATCGTTAGGTTTTTACTTTATATTAGTTTTAAAGTAATTGTAAGTATCCTTGACTGTAAGACCTTGTTCAGAAATATATATGATTGATACAATATAAATAGTGGATAAATAAGTATTATAAGTTTTAGCAAACATTTAACATATATAAACATATAACATAAATAGCTACCACAAAAACGGTGTCAGCTACAGTTCCATTAATGCTTTTTTTAATAATAAACCCTCATTTCAGAAAAACAGAAAGTGTTTGAAAATTAAGTCTTGAAAAAAGTTAAAAAGGTTTTTCCTTTTTTTTATGCATACAAAAAGGGAGAAGACACCACTTATAAAACATAGATCGTCCAGGTTATAATTTAAAAATCCTGAAATTTCTTTGCGTACAATATGCATAATATTTTTTCTCATAATTTTCTCTTAATTTTTGCCTTCAGCTGAGTTAATTTTATCATTTTTTTGTATGAGTGATGACTAAAAAACTCCAAACATTTACACAAATGCATACTTAAACTTGTATGCATTGAAATAATTGAGGATATCCGGAAAACAAAAAGTCTTGAAAAATACCCGGAATACCGGGAACATCCGAAAAAAAATAATCCATGTATAAAAACTACAAAATCAATTTACCTGCTTTTTTTCATACTGCTGCTGCTGATGTAGCAGTCGTTGTTTGCGTTATTGAAAAACATCGTGTGGTTTTAAGTAATCAATTTAAATTGAAGATGATATAACTTCTGTTTTTCTAATTAGTTTGTAGTTTTCAATTCATAGATTTTTATGGTTTCCAATATTTTCAACATAATGCAATGTTGAATATTGGGAACAATAAAGATATAAGAAACTTTGAGTCTTGTACATCTTAAAGTTGTGATAAAGAATGCAACTTTTTGTTCGCTATCAGACTAATTCATAAACTCATTCATAACTAAATTAAAAACAATGGTTGATTTTACAATTAATTAAAGTAAAATATTTTGTAAAGATGTAAACAAAGAGATTAAATAAAAGGATTAAAGCCTACGTGTCTGAATCTCTCTTCAACTAATCTAAAACGAATTAAGCAAATGAAACAGCACAAAATCAAATAACTATGCATAAATTCCATAACTTACAAAAATTACCTTCCACACCAGTGTTTAAATGAAAAAAGGCGAACGTAAAGATAAAATACAAATGAACTTCCCTTAAAAAGCATATTTAAAAAATTATTATCAACATTAACAAAACAAAACTTTTAGGAAAATAAACAGGTACTGTACTTACTTTAACAGTGTCAACAACAAAGGATAATCTAATTCTCCAGCTCTACTTCATGAGTCTCATCTTATAACTCCCAAGAATAAATTATATGCAAATAACTTTTCCTCTAATTCATTCCTTGATTATAATATATTATACAACAATAATGACTATAAAAAACTCTTCCTGTCTTACCAGAGAAACAGGTTAACCTTTTGTTAGACTTAAAAACATTGATAAAAATAATAATCTTTGAAACATTGCTAAAAATAATAGTTACACATTATTTCACTTAATAATAGTTACACTTATTTTCATGATGTATTTTCAAAGTAAACTAATAAATAAAAATTAACAAGAAATCATTCTGTAACATAAACTTCGTGTTGACTTTATGAAAAGGTATAAAATTAAAATAAAGCTGCACAGTTAAAATATCACTTTACACAACAAAATTAAAAAGTTCTAGAAAGCAATATGAAAAACAAATGAACGTTATCAAAGTTAAGCACTGAAAGTATCTTTATAAAATTTCTGAAACAAATTAAAAAAGAAAAATGCCTAACAACATGTCTAACACTTTTGTTCTAACTTTATTTTAATGCAGGAAGCATTTTTGTCATTTTTTTATCTTAGATATAAACTATGATACATTAGATATAAACTATGATAAATTATATGATACATTATATTATAATACATCATACAATGCATAACATAATGTTTTAAAAAATGTATCATGACTAATCAAAGCTCAAATAATGACCCATGAGCTGCAACTCTTACTTTCCGCCAAAACCTGATGCTCTACCAAATAGCAGAAAAATATCTAATTAAAAAAGCTGATATTTTCTTCAAATACCTCTAATTCTAGCCTGGAATTACTAACTTTTAATTAAAAATCAAAAATCTACAAAATTCAGCAATTTGAAAATTCCAAAATCTGATTTAAAATAATGGTTTCCAAAGAAACAAAAATAATAATGAAATTTAATTTTTTCAAAGCTAAGCAATAACAAATATCAAAAACAATAAAATGTAGCTTGCAATAAAAAATATTTAGAGATAAGCAAAAATCATTTCTACATATTTAAATGTAAGCTTAAAAAAGACTAAACTAAGAAACGCTAGAAAGTAGCATGGGCTATTTCAAAAGTAGTATAAAGGGCTATTTCAAAAAAAGTATTTTTAACTATCAGGTTCAAGAATTTTGCAAAAAAGGGACACTAGCTAAAGAAACACAAAGCTAATTGCCAATTAAAAGCTATTTTAAATGTTTTTTATAATATATTAATTTTTATTATAATATATTAAATAAATAAAAATAAATATGGAGTATGCTCTTTATAAATATTAAAATATACTAACCGTTTCTATAAATAATAAATAATAAACATTTTAATATTTATTTATGTCACTAAATAAATAGATATTAAAAACTTTTAAAAATATTTTATATTAGGATATGAACCTAAATTCCACTATTTCCTTACTTTACATTGAGCACAGAACCAATATCCTTTAGGTTTGCAAGATATTTGTAGACAAACATAATGCGACCAGTCTAAACAATGATCACACTGAAGCCATTTTTGGTTTTTTCCAGCTGCCTTAGACTGCCCGCATACTTGACACGGCCATTTTTCAATTCTCACATCTTCACACCGTTTGATGACTTCAGCCCATGCATCCTCTACAAAATATTGCTTAATGTCATCAAGACTTGCTCTAGGATCAGCAATCTTATTCGATAACTGCTTTAAAAACTGGCAGGTGGTAATTTTAGCACTCTCGTGTAAAACCTGCAGGGCAACTGTTCTTTCTACAAACCAACAGAGACGGATATGATCTTTTTCAAAACTACCTAATTTTTCAAACGCTTTTATAGCTTTGTCAAAAAGTCTCTGTTTGTTTTTAGCTACACGACCAGGTGGCTTCCGCTGGGGTTGCCTTAAAACTAAATTTATATGTGGCTCTTGAGAGACTACTTCACATATTTCTTTATTTATGCATTCAAGTGGGGTAATCATAGGATCTGCACTTGAAGGTGATTTAACTTCTAAAATTTCTTTTGATGATAGATCTTCTGTAGATGTAAAACCTTCTAGACAAGGATCACTTTGATCTACTGTAGATGTAAAACCTCCTAGACAAGGATCACTGTGATCTTTTGCAGGTGTAAAAACTTCTAGACAAGGATCACTTTGAAACTAAAATAAACAAAACATTTTTCTAATGCAGTTCTTTAATGATTTGAAAACTGAAAGCATCTAAAATCTATTGACATACCATCAGTTCCCATTCACCAGAAATGCATTGTTGATTAATAGATTCTAACCAGGTTATTGCAAGTTCAAATTTTTTGGGTGGCATTTCAGCGAGCAAAGAGGCTATTGGTTGAAGGTAACTCATTGCTGTTGTAAATCTTTGTTTGGGAGTGGCACAACAGAGATGTAATAATTCTATATTTGAGGTAATATGTGATGGCGCTTGGTCAAAACTTACCTGGTTTGCTACAGTATTGCATGAAATCCACCTAAATAAATTTATGTCAATGTAAATAATTTCTGTTATCCTAGTGTAAAGTAGGTTAAAAAATGTATTTAAAATTTTTATTTCAGTGTACACAAAAAAGAATTCTTCTAGCCAATTAAATAAAAGTAAATATTTCATTTATTGCACTATAACAGACAATCAATTTAGCATTAGAAAATGCAAATAGGGGATCATCGATACATCATTTGTTTTGCTTTTTAGATTACCTGAATGGCATGGTAACTTTTTAAAGTAACTTTTTCTAGAATAAACAATGACTCAGAACATTTAATAAGTAAGAAATTGCGTGCAACATTACAATACATGTTTTGACTACTAAATTGTAAATTGATTATTATTCAAATAAATTTTAATTTAGCAATCTATAACATAAGTGGATTGAAATTTAAATAAGGTCATGAAGTTATATAATATTACAAACCTTTATTATTATTAATTAGTAGAAAACCCAAGGTTACCTTTTATGAATGAACTGTAGATCATTAACAGTTACATTCTTCGTTCTTAGAGCAAAAAGAACATGTGCACACGGCACGCCAAACCCTGATGCAGCATCACAGATGCAAACCCAGTCTATTATGTTATAAAAAGTTGATTGCCGATCGATTATTTGTAATGAATCTCTGTCCTAAAACACCATAAAATAAGTAATGATTGACTAGCAAATCTTATTAGAAAACAAAAAATAATAAAAAATGGAGTACATTTAATAAAAATTATTAACCTCATATAAACTAAAATCAGACTTGACACTTTTATCATATTGTTCCATGAGATGACGAAGAATAAAGGAAGAAACATGACGTGAATAAAACTTTAGTGGCTCTGGAAGTTTATTGTTAATTTTTAGTTGTTGGTCAAAGTCTGCATGTTTAGATTTTTCTATTTGTACTCTATTAACCTTAAGAATTTTATCTATAAGATTTCCCGGTGACATGCGTGACAAAAGGCCAACATCTTTAAGTGTTCTATGATATCTAATCAGAACAATAATTAATTGTTATAAAATTATTGTTAAATAATTCATAAAAAAATTAACTTATTCGATCTAAAACTTTTTCCATTACAAGACTTTTCTATTAAAAATAATGAAGTCATCTTAAAATAAGCACCTTTCAAGTCTGTTATTAGTATGATTGTCTAAATGCATCAGACCTTTTCTATACTGACCCATAAACATTTCTGGTATGGTCAGCCAGTTTTCTTGAAGATACACATAGAACGTAGGGAAATTTTTTTCAATATCTAACAAAGCTTCAGCGCATGTTGCCTGATTACCGTACATTAATTTCTGAGTAGCCTAATGAAACATTTAAATAGTTAAGTGAGAGCATAGTTGCATTTTTACAATAGTTTTATTAATAAATTTTCCAATTGTTAGTAAGATAAACAATAAAAATAATTAAAAATAATATTATAATTGCAAACCTTGAATAATAATTCCTGATCGTCAGCAGTAAGTCTACCCTTTTTAATTTGGTAAATAAAAGCTTTAGCTACATGAAAGCGACAGAGAAATATTTTATTTCCTGGAAAAACAGACTGTAGTCCAGATATTTCTGCTTGAGCTTTATCAACCATGAATATCGACTTTTGAAAAGTTTCAATCCCAGCCCATTCCTTAGCATGTGTCATTAGCAGCTGTAGATGTGACTGGTCCTCACGATAAACTAAAGACTGCACTACAGGTCGCCCCATGCCATTTTGATCCACAACAGCCATTGTGTATAATGGCATAGAAAAGTTGTTAATCTGGATATTATTAGGAACTTTATTAATAGCAATTCATTATTTTTATAAATACCTATTTTTTTAAATAGAAATTATACCCTCAAAAAAAATCTTACGCCACACACTTAGCCAATGTTAAGACAAACCATATAGGTACCATCAAGCATGATACACTCAGGATACTTTTTCAACAATTTTATTTGTTCAGTAGTTGTCCACGTTATACACTCTACTTTTCTATCAAGATTGGCATCAATATGGGATATGACGTTTGGTAATTCAAGAACCTTTATAACTTCATCGAGTGCAGGACCTGTTTATTTTATAGGGAAAAAAATAACCTTTTAGAAAAGATAATCAACCTTTTAGAAAAGTCATACAATTTAAAATTGAAGTTTCAACCATAACAAAAACCTTTAAATTTCATTCTTTGCTTTATGTTATATATATCACTAGTCTTTAAACCATGCCTGTTTAAATTGTCTGTTATAAGTGTAGGATTAGCACCATGAGATAGCAGAAGCATTGTCTGCTGCTCGAGAACACCTTTTGGTTGACGTTCTGAACTATACATACCGAACTGCTCAGGCCCATGTGGATGATTATGAACTAAATTTTTTTTCTTAATATAATAACTCCTTTTTTCTTTTTTATAGGCTACATAAATAGCCATCTTACAACCACTTGCTAGCACGCTATTTTCTCGTAACCCTTTGCCTCTCTTTAAGACACTGGGCATTACTTCTCCATAATGTTTGCATACCCACCTGTAAAAATAAAAATCTGTAAAGTTGAATATTTAAGTAACATTTTATTTTTAATATTTTTATTTTTAAAATATTGCAAATTATTAATTTTTTTTTTTCTTCACTTGCAACAAGGAAGCACTATTTATGTTAGAAATTACTGGAAAAAAAAAGATAAAGATTATAGAGCAAGATAACAATTAACAGACAAAAAAAAAAAGAAAAGTTGAAAATTATAAGAATCAGGAAAACAAGATAAAGGAAGTGAAGATAAATGTAAAACTGATACTCGAAGAAAAAAAGTAGATAAATAAGAATCTTTGAAACACTTAGGAAAAAATAAAAGGATGAGACTTAATTGAATGACTAATAACACGACAATGAATTTTAACAGATGGCGTAAGAGACACTAGCTCTTTAGAGCAGAGCCCATTTTAGTACTTGTAGAAGAAATTAAGAGAAGCAACATCACCACAATATGATTGAAGCAACATCATATGATAATGGTTGGAGGTTGGCTGCAAGAGCAGTTCCAACTAAGTTTTGCACCTTGTCTAAAAGAGAAAGAGCATCTTCGGAAGATCCTTCCCAGATATTTCAACAGTATTCCGTAGAAGGACGGATAAATTATTTATAGAGATAAAGAATGGAAATAGGAGTCTAAAAGTGGCAACAAGATAAAGAGATGCAAGGTTAGAAGATGCTAATTTTGATATCAATTTGATATAAGATCAGAAGTAATAGTTAATCCTAAAAGATGATAAGAAGATGACTCATCAATTATATTACCGTTCATAAATTTAGGAAGATAAAAGTTATTGCGATAACAATTGGCTGAAAAATATTTAGTTTTATCTGAGTTCAAGTTCACCAGCCACTGAGAACCCCATGCTGTAGCAGAAGTAGCTTAAAATAGATCTGCTGTAGCAGATCTATTTTAAGCTTGGATAACTCTCCAAGCAATCAGAGAGTGTTGGTTTTTATCAAGACAAAAATAAATATTAGTGTCATCAGCCAACAATGCCACCTAAGATGTGGGAGTTTCAGGGAGATCATTAATGTATATTAGAAAAAGTATAGGACCAAGGATGGAACCTTGAGGAATCCCTGAAGTTACCGGAAATGAGAAGAATGCTGTCCACAAAGTATAACTTTTATAATACGATTAGTAAGGAAGAATTCAATAATCTTTAAGACATTACCTGATAAACTGTAAGACAAAAGCTTAAGGAAAAGACCCGAATGCCAAACTTTATCAAAGGCTTTAGAAATGTCAAGAGCAATGGCCTTAGCCTCTCCACAATTATCGAACACACAATAAAACCTATCAGTTATTATCGTTAATAATTAAGCAGTAGAATGAGAAGATCGAAATCCATATTTCAGATCAGAAAGTAAATTATTAGATTCAAGATGAGAGATTAATTGTGTGTTAATTAAAGACTCAAAAACCTTGCTTATGCTATTAAGAAGACTGATGGGATGATAGATAGACAAGTCGGATCGCTATCTAAAATTTTAAAAAATAGGAAACACAGACACAGCTTTCCAGCAGGGCGGCAAAAAATGACTTCTATAAACATTTGTTAAATAGTTTTGAAAGTATAGACGACAGCTCCGAACAACACTTCTGCAAGACTATGACAGGTATGTCATCTGGACCACAGGCTGAAGAAGTTTAAGCAAGAAATCACTTTTGATACAGAAGCTGGGGTGATAAGAATGTCAAGCGATGGATTAACATGTTTGATGGTTATATCAGGTAGAATGTGATTGGTCGAATCAAGAAATGAGATAAATAAAAAGTTCTTAGCGAATAATTCAGCTTTGTCTTTAAGTGAAGTATCAAAATCTGAACTGTGCAAGAAAGGTGGAATAACAGATTTGCCCCTATTATAGAAGTCTTGACAGCCTAATTTCTGAGAAAAAATACTATATTTTGTGACCTGGGAATAGTGAGTTTTGGCGTTAGACAAAACCATGTTACAATGGTTTATAAAATAACAGCTTTAAAGAGATCAAACCATTATCAGAAGAACCTAAGTGTGAATGTGGAGAAACTGAGTATTGACAAGGATCAGAAACAAGACATAAGTCAAGTAGAGAAGATAAATGATTCAGATTATCCGGAAAGTTGACTATTTGTGTTAGAGATTGAGAAAGGCAAAAATCAAGCTTAAGAAAAGGTTTACTCTTATGTAAAATTAAATTTCAAGGTAGGTTTGCTATTGACTACTATTTGATTAGAAAATGTCTTGATACCCAAATTTTCACATTTAGACATTATTAAAATGAAATAAAATTAATTTCTATTAAAATAGATTTAATCCGTTTTTTGTTTAGACTCATTATAAGCGCAGTGGCAAATTAATTTTAAAAGAGACTTTGACTTGTCTCTCTGCCGTATAAAAATGTGATTTAGATACTATTATTATATTCACAATTAGTGATTTAATTGAATTATTTATTAATGTTGAAAGCTTTATATTTATCCTTCACTAGAAATTTCTAGATTTAGTGGACTTGGAAAGGATTTTATTCCTAATTAGTTGCTTACAAACAGAGTAAATATTATATAATTTCACAAGAGCAAAAAAGCACAACATGCAGTCTATACCAAAATAAATGTTCTAACAAAAACCAATCTAATTTCATTTGTTCTTGCTCAATGGAGAAATGAAAATGTTAGGTTTCAACAACCAGTTATTTTTGGGGAGAAATCACTTTATTATAGAATAAAAACTTTTTGGGAAAAACAATTTAAAACATCGCATGAAGAAGAACTGAAGCTAAGGTAAAAGAACTAATACCAGAGTTTTAAACTAATAGACCTCATAACAAGTCCTCATACAATATTTTTATGAGCATAATCTGTTTGGGTATCCCCCAAAAATAGTACGATTATAGCACACATAAATTGCAGCTGTATTTTTACTAAACGAATTTTAACTATGGAGCTCATGATATAAAGTCAAAGATATAAGACAGGTTAAAAGTCTGAGATGCAGATAATACATGCTAATAATTTGAAGGGACAGTTACATTCTATTATTATCAAGAGAATCACATTACTGTGGCTATAGAACTTTGTGTTTGATATCTATCTGAATGCACGTATTCATTCGAACAAACCAGCTACAAAGCTTCCTTAAGTTGTTTGTTTTTCTTAGCAAAAATATAATCTTACTAAATGATGTGTAACACTTATAGATTAAACAAGTTGTTTTCGTGTCACCTAATAAAAGGAATTAATGGACCAACATCATTTAGTACTGGATTTGTAAATCCTACAGGAAAATATCCTGATATTTATAAAATGGAGTATAATCTTCAATTTAAAACTTGTCCAGATGGAGAGAGCTTTGTTTACATTTCAGAAACTATATATAACTATATCTTTTAAGATAGTTGTATTTTGGTAAAACAAACACTTAATCTCTCATCTTGAATCAAATAACTTATCAACAAACACTTAATCTCTTTCTTTCCCTTTCTTTCCAATCGTAGTATAAAAGTTGTCCTCGATGGACAACACTCTTCTTCACATCCTGTAACTTCAGGGGTTCCTCAAGGTTCAATCCTTGGCCCTATACTCTTTTTAATTTACATTAACGATCTTCCAGATATTCTCACATCTAAGGTGGCATTATTCGCTGACGACACTACCATTTACTCTTGTCATGATAAGAAGCCTACACTTTCTGATTGCTTGGAGGGGGTATCTGAGCTTGAAAAGGATCTCTCTTCTGCTACAGCATGGGGCTCACAGTGGCTGGTGAACTTTAATTCAGATAAAACTCAATTTTATTCGGCCAATCGTTATCGTAATAATTTAGATCTTCCTATATTTATGAATGGTAATGTACTAGATGAGTCATCTACCATTGATCTTCTAGGATTAACTCTTACTTCTGATCTTTCTTTTAAACCGTATATCAAATCCATTGCAAAATTAGCATCTGCTAAGGTTGCATCTCTTTATCGAGCTCGACACTTTCTTACTCCAGATTCTATTCTCTATCTCTATAAATCTCAAATCCGTCCCTGTATGGAATACTGTTGCCACATCTGGGGCAGATCTTCTAATGATGCTATTTCTCTTTTAGACAAGGTGCAAAAACGAATTGTAAACATAGTTGGACCTGCTCTGGCAGCCAATCTCCAACCTTTGTCACATCGTCGTAATGTTGCTTCTCTTTCTCTTTTCTACAAATACTATAATGGGCACTGCTCTAAAGAGCTAGCTTCCCTTGTGCCATCTACTAAAATTCATTCTCGTGTTACTCGCCATTCAATTAAGTCTCATCATTTTTCTGTGACTGTTCCTAAGTGCTTCAAAAACTCTTATTCTTCTAGTTTTTTTCCTCGAACATCAGTTCTTTGGAATTCGCTTCCTTCATCTTGCTTTCCTGATTCATATAATTTGCAATCTTTTAAGTCATCAGTCAATCGTTATCTTGCTCTACAGATTTAGTCTTTTCTCTTCCAGTAACTTCCAACTCTTATAGTGGTTGCTTGCAGCCTTGTTGGAAGTGAAGATGTTAAAAAAAAAAAAAAAAAAAAAAAAAAAAAACGCATCACTGGCCACCAGCGACGGATTCAGACATCATACGGCCCGGGTGTTTTGTTTTTTTGGAGGCCTGTTTTATGTGGAAAAGCCTAAAAATAAAAAAATAAAAAAAGCTCCTCTAAAATAATTGGGGGGACCCTAATTTGTGGGGCCTGGGCATCATACTTTTCAAATTTTTGATTTTGAATTTGGCGGATGATTTTAATGGTGCCACTATATGTAAAAATGAACTTCCAAAAGAAAAAAATTTGAATAAAAATTTGAATAAAATTTTTTTTACCTAGACGGGATGGCAGTTTTCGAAAAGGTAAAACTGTTCATTTATGCATAAATGCAAGAGGGATCAAAATTTTAAAATTTTTGAAATATGAAACTATTTAGATTTTTTTTTATATATTATTATATGCTGTATAATGTAAATAATTTTTTTTTCCAAAAAAAAATAAATTTTCGCAGGGAAAAAGGCGTTATAAGATTGAAAAAATATATAAAAATTGGAATTTTTTTCATAATAAATTTTCAGACTTTATTTGTTGGAATGAAGTTTTTATAGTTCAACTTAACAACATCGTTTAGCTTTACAATATTTAATACAAAACAAATTTAAGTTATAATATTGTCATAAAAATGTTTTGGTTTACGATTTTGATTTGAAAAGGTTACTAAAATTTTTTTTTGATTAAAGCTTGGGCAAAGTTTATATGTTATTCATTCGTGCTCTCACAAAACCGTCTCTTTTTTCAAAACCAGACACACAAAGTGCTGCTTCTGTAACTTCTTTTACTGTCCTTTCACAAGATTGCGTGTGAAGAGGAAAGTACAGAGCTTCAAAGCAAGTGACCAGCTATTTGCCAAGATCGTATGTAGAGATTTGGTACATAAACACTGGTTCTGATATTTTTTCCTTCTCCCAATCTATTAGCTCTTTGATAGACAAAGCTTCTGTATTGAGAAAAACCTTTTTTCTTGACCTTACCGCTGTGTCTCCGAACTGCGAGGTTTTCCTTATATCTTTAATTGTTTTAATGGTAAGCTTCCTCAATTCTTCATCTGAACTTGACAAAAGAGTTAATATAAGGGATTCCGAGCTGGTTTTGCTTGGCGGTATAGCTTTAGGTGTGTGTAATGAGTGAGGTATCTTCCATCAGGCTCACTCGTCACAGTTATATGTTCTTCTTTTATAGTCCTAATGTGAAATTTATTTAGAGGATTTCTAAATAAATTTCACATTAGAGGATAAATTTCACGTTAGAGGATTCTGTTCCAAAATAAAAGTTGAGTCCTTCCTGCCATCAATAAACAAACCTCTAATAGGTTCTTTGTCGATTAACTTTTCTTCATACATTATTACTCTCTTCATTATTTCTTACTTTCATAGGATCAACAGGTAAATAAGACATATCAGGCATCAAATACTTTGCTTCAATAAGGTCTAGAAGAAAGGATGTAATAATAGCTGATGTTGCTACTGGTGAAATATCATATCTTATTGAAGCTTCTGCAATATGACTTATTGACATTTTTTTTCCAAATCTTGTTTTGAAGCGGATCTTCTGAAATCTTTTTCTTTTTTAAATCTGAATAATCCTCAATTAAACATTCAACAACGTTGTCATTTTCTACCTTAAATTTTTTTTTCCATTTCTAATTTTTTCTCTACTCTAGACTTTCTCTTCATTTTTTTCTCCTCTCGCGAAAACTGTCTCGCGGTCTCTTTAATATCATTAAAACTCATCTGGTATTTTGAAATAGATCCTCTTGTTTTCCTTTGGGCATTAAGCCATAGAAGTTCAACCTTTGGAATTTTTTTCTCTTTTACACAAGTTCATTTAATATGTACTTGTTTGACGCAAGAATAAGTTTTCAAACACAACTAGTTACATAACATAATTTCACACTTGCACATGTTATATCTAGAAATTCATCCAGTTTTGATTCCCAAAAAGACACGTGTCTGAGAAGCTTTCCCATGTGCTATATCTTTGATCTTGTTCCAGGAAAACTCAATTTTTTCCATCAAAGTTCTTTCCAATAACCACTGGAGGTTTAAAAAGAGCATTTGCTTTTATCTACTGCTGAAAAACGATAACAGCTAGTAGTCGAGAAAAGTCTCTCAATCAAATATTCCTTCTAAAGACAAAAATATATAATATAATGCAGAATGTATAATTTGTTTCATAAATTTTGAGTTTCTTGATTATTACCTGTTAACATCTTCTCGAAGTAGAGCTTCTTGGATAAGCAGACCTTTTCTCAAAGTATCTCTTAAAGTTGGCACTTCTGACGAATTAAGATCCTTACTTCTGCCTAAATATGTTGATAACTTTGTTTTCATAGGGAGTCTTGTGTTTTTTGAAGTAGTCATAGTTAATTTAATATAATTATTAGAATTGGCATTTATATGATTGCAAATAAAAACAAGAACTCTTTGTATACAGTTTTTAAACCACGAAAAACTCATAAAAACATAATTACATAGTAAACTCATAAAACTCGTAAAAGATAAACTCATAAAAACATACTTACAAAGTTGAATAGTCTGAAATCACTTACAATTCAACCGCCAAGTGAAATAACAACATCATTATTTAGATACACTTTTAATTATAGTCATTTTAACTGACTTATAAAGACATAAAAATAAAGTCTGAAATTTTCTAGTAAAAAAAAAGCCAGTGAATGTCCTTGTTATTTAAAAAATTTAACATTATATTTTATACTTTAATATTTTTTTTCAATCTTATAAGGCCATTTTCCCCGCAAAAATTTAACTTTTTTAGAAAAAAAATTATTCACGTTTCACAGCATATGGTAATATATATAAAAAAATCTAAATAGTTTCATATTTCAATAATTTTAATATTTTGATTGTTTTGAATTTTGAGTCTAATGTCTTTCAGAACAAATTGTCTTAATCAAACACATTCAGTCAATCAATATATCAATCAATATCAATCAATTTTATTTTAGAATACAAAAGTTGTTACAACTCAAGGTCATTTACAAATAGTAATGAACTAATCCAGATATTAATGGCAATAACAAATAAAAATGAAAATAATAATAACAATAATAATATTATAAATAGTATTAAAGACATTCATTATATAAGAGTAATGTAACACCAAATAATTATAACTACATTCCATACATATGATAGTAATAAATACAACACATACATAATAGTAATATTTAATAAATATTTATTAGCAAGAATAATAGTCATATAAACAAAAAATAAATTTAAATAATTTAAATAAATCATTACTAAATGCCACACAACAATCGTTTATACATACACAGTTACAGTTAAAAACAGTAATAAACAGACAAAACGTAACAACTAACAATGATATAAAAAAAACTATTGTTTAAAAATTCTAAAGACTTAGTTAATATAACAATCATAATTGTTGTAATATAATAACCATATAATAATAAAATTACTGCAAAAATAATAAACAAATAAATAAAATAAAAACTGATAAAAATAAAACAAAAAAAACACACACAAAAACGTTATGAAACAAAAGAACTTATAACAACAAAAAAAAACAACATAATAAACAAAACATTTAATGTAATAAAATAAACAACAAATAGTAGTACCAATAAAAATACATAAAAACAACAAGAAAATGTAAAAACACATAAAAATATACATCTGCTCGTTCGTTATTCGAGCAATAATTTTGTATTATTTCTTTTTTTTATTAATTTACTTCTCTATGTATTGTTATTTTTATTGTTTCTTTTGCTTTCGTTTTTTTTTCTTTGTTTCTTTCAGTGGGAAAAATATAATTGAAATTTTCAGTCATCTTTAGTTGTAACTATTTGACTGTTTTTTACCATACGGATTTAAATTTTGCTAATTAAAACTCTTGTACTTAAAGATATACGTGTTTTCTGTCACTTTAAAACATTTTATTACAATTGTATGTACAATTGTACATACAATTGTATGTACAATTGTATGTACAAAATTTGTATGTACAATTGTACATACAATTGTATATAATATTGCTGAAACAAATAATATTGCTGAATAAATTTCACTGATTGTGGAACACAATAATAAAATATGTTGTGCTAGCATGCTATAAGTAGCAAAACATCATCTATTAATATCACAATAATACTATTAAAAGTGATTGTGGAACTTGTTCCACTATCTTATTTATCTATTTCAGCAATTGTCACAGCTTACCTTATTATTACTGGTATTACCAATACTATCAATATTTACTATTATTATTATATAGGGCTCACCTACAACCATATATAGCGTTAAGAGGAATACAACATATCTGGGAACCTTCCTTTACTTTTTTATTATAATGTTCAACTTTTTCTTTTGAGTCGATTTTGACGGGGTGAAAATTCATTCTACAATATTCAATAACAGACTTTTCTGCTTCATCAAAATCTCTAAAATTCTTCATGAAAATGTCCTCCATTTTTTAATCTTTAAGAATCTTATTGAAAATCTTTTAACTACTAAATTTTATTCAAGAACTCTCTTCGCAAATATACTCGTTGTTTTAAAGCATGCGCATTTTGGAAAATGAAAGTAAATTTTAAAAATATTCTAAAAATAGATTTTCACTGTACCTATCAAAAAACGCATCCTTAGGTACAGTGAATTTTCACTGTATTTATAATTAACGAAACCGAAGGTCTTACCTAATTTTTAACAACTGAAAATCGATATTTTCCTCGCTTAACATATTTAATACGATATTACTAAAATATTACAAACCAAAATTTTTTTATGAAAAAGTTAACTATGTATGTGTTTAAAATTACCATGCAGCAATAAAAGTTACACTAAAATTTTCAGTAAAACTGAAAATGGTTCATAAAAAAAAACATGTCGCTAAAAACATGATTCTAGCCTCCTTTCCGAATAATTCGATACGAGAATCCAACAAAGAAGTGTGGCTTTTTTTACGCATATAATGAAGTTTAATTTCATAATTACAAGTGTGGCTTTAAAGCGCACAAGTGTAGCCTTGAAGTACACAAATTGTGTAGCCAAAAAGACACTACACTAAGTGTCGTGTTTTTTGTCCACACTATTTTTAAGCGTGTAGAAAGTTAGTCGGGTAATTTTAGTTAACTAAAAAGTTAGTCGGGTAATTTTAGTTAACTAGAAAGTTAGTCGCGTAATTTTAATTAACTAAAAAGTTAGTCGGGTAATTTTAGTTAACTAAAAAGTTAGTCGCGTAATTTTAGTTAACTAATAAGTTAGTCGACTAATTTTAGTTAACTAAAAAGTTAGTTAACTAATTTTAGTTAGACTAAAAATTTAGTTAAGTATCTTTAGTTAGACTAAAACTAACCTTAACTCCCACCCCTAATTCTTTTGCTCTATTAATTTTATTCGTTAGCAAAAAGCAGCTTATAATTTCTTAAAGGATATTTCAATGCAATAAAGATTTGTTGTTTTTTAAGATAAAAATTCAAAAGTAATACTAGTATATGGAATACTTTTTACTAAGTTTGGCCCCATGAAAATTAAATTCTTATTCAATTTAATGATAAAATTATTATATGCATGAGCATATACAATTTTATCATTAATTTTAATACCGTTTGGCAATGCGCCTGATTTAGTTTTAACTTTACGTTATAAAAATCGTGAAGGGTTTAAAAAAATAGAGCATTTATTAAATAACATAGCTACAAGTTGATTGTGTTTTTTACTTCTTATTGTATTTTTCTTTAATAGTAAGTATTTAAATTTAAATGCTGATGTATCATTTAAAGAACAAAAATAATATATCAAATCATCAGCAATATGGAATAAGTTATGAACGTTAAAAGCTACAAATATTATGTGGTTAATGGAAAAATAGGACTGATGGATTGCCTCTCCTTTTTATTCATTTTTCTTTAACTATCTCTCTATCGTCCAACCTCTTTCCCACTTTCCTCCAACATACCACAATGATGTAATGAATGATGTAAGTTTTTTTAATCAAGTAAACAAGTTAATCTTTTTTATATTTCTAAAAAAAATGTTAATCTTTTTTTTTATATTACTACTAGAAAATGTTAATCTTTCTCTTATATTTATTACATAGCGTAACAATGCGTTTAAAAAACGTGTAATCAGCATTAGAAGTAACAACAGCAGTGATACGCAGCTGTATTATGCTCGTAAAAGCAACAGTTAATTATTTATACGTTTAAAATTTACAAGTACTTTGTTTTATTTTTTAGTCCCACTTTATTTCAAAACTAAATGGAATCAAATCAAGAACGTTGTCATAAATTCGACTTTTTTAAAGGTGACTTATCATTTACATGTCGATTATTATTTATTCTGCGTTTAAATAAAAATCTATCTAAAGAAAATTAAAAGATTTTAAAAACATTAAAAAGTTATTCTTTAGTTATTCTTTAAAAATGCTAACATTGGTTTAATACAAAACTTTGATCAGATCAAGTTCGATCTTCTTTTTAGAAATCAGAATACAAACCTACTTTTTCTATGCCTAGCAACACAGCATTTTTCAATCTAGGTAATAGAATTAAATAAAGATATATATATATATATATATATATATATCTTTATATATATCTTTATATATATATATATATATATATATATATATATATATATATATATATATATATATATATATATATATATATATATATATATATATATATATATATATATATATATATATATATATATATATATATATATATGCACCCACAGCATATGAAAAACAGTGCCTTTTGATTTTCAAAAATGAGAGGCGTTTAGCCCACCAGTATAATATATACTATAAATATACAAAAAGAAACTAAACAATAATAAATATAACTGCTTAACAATTGCTTGCATTCTCTATACATATTGTTTGACATTTATTTACCAATGGAGAGGCTTTTTCAATATTTACAATACGATCATTTAACCTTTTTATAATTTCTTCTTAAACCAAACAAAGAAAGAAACAAATAAAATACCGGTCTGCAGTAAAAGCTCTCCAGCAGCTAAATGTATAAAAAGTATAACTCAATATTAGCTCAATTTCCAATATATTATAGTTTAACATATATATGCTAATGCAGCATTTATTGCAAGAATTTCTTTTCTTTTAGCTAAAAAAAAATTTTTTGAAATTATTTACATTTAGTAGAAAACCATTAAAAAAAAACAAATTTACAACTTCATTAAGATATTTCTACTAAGTTCATCTCTTTTGCGAGCTAAAAAAAAAAATTTTAATGAAACATTGGCAACATTACAGCTTTTAGTTTCTTTTTTGTCTTTGATTTTTCAAATCAAAGACAAATATCTTTTTAAAGTTCTAATTCTTTTTTGACTAAATACACATTTTAATTAATTTAATACACTTTGTAACAAGATTTTTATACAAGTTATACAAAATAGACTTCATATCTTAAAACATGCAGATATAGACATACTACAGTCAAAATTTGCATACATACATGCTTTAGATTTTAGATGAGGAAGGCTTTACATTAATTTTCTTATATTTATTTATTAAAACTAAGTTAAAACTGTTTGGCTCACATGCCAGAGCACACTTACACACTAATACTTCACACTTATAGAGGTTCACAGTTATGAAATTCATTTTTAGGCAGTTGCGCACTTATAGATTTAACTTATTTTGTTAACCCTTAGGCAGTTCTTCCAGTCTCATAGTCTAAATAAAAACAAATATGTAGATAAACTGATGTATATGACAGTCATCAAAGCTACTTTGGTAAATATCTGAATAAACAAGTGCAATATTATCAATTGAAGTGCATATATGATATTCATAATCATTTGCTGTTACTCCTGGTACCTGATCTAGAGTAATAAATAGACATTTATCTTTAGATATTAAGTTAATGCTATTAATGTGCTTCTTGTGTTGTAGCTTCAAATCCATGAGTAAGATTATTATTATGCACAGCCTACTCAGCTGCTTGCAAATCCGAAATACTGCCAAGTTCACGAGCCATTTGCTCAACAGTACTGCGATGAGAAATATTATTAAAAATAACACCCATATAATGCCCTATTTTGCTCATAAGATATGGAATGTTTCATAAGATATGGAATGTTACCTTTTGGTACACAACAACATATTATAAATTATCATTCTTACTTGTAATCAATATGTTTTTTCGTCTTCTGGCATAATTACATTTCTTTTCTCCTCAAACTGAAGCAAATCAAAAGCAATTACCAAACCAGCAATTCCCCTGTAATTTGTACATTTATTAAAACAGCGGCATTAGGCTTAGTTATGAGTTGCCTTAACTTATGCTTTTCATTTATTTTTAAAGCGTTTTTTCAGCTTTAAAGTAATGAACCTGCTTACTGTAACTTTTTTTTTTTTTTTTTTTGAGATCACGTTTTTCTGCCCTTAAAGCTATAATTATTTTGTCTTTTTGTTTAACATTTTGCTTTAGAATACGTAATTGATTTGGCATGCTGTTTAATTTATCTTTTAATAGAGTTATCTTGCTTCGACATTCTATATAAGAGCTAGCTAACCAAGAAGACAAGTATAATATCTTTTAGCTTTTGCTTTATAAAGCCTAATTTCTCTCTCAAGATATGTTTAGTAACATTTTGTTTTCTATAACCTGCAGATGTAGATGGCTCATGATTTAAAGGATATGAAACATTCATATTGGTAAATGAAACATCTGAAGAGCCGGATGATCAAGGATGTAGTTAGATCAATAAAGACGCCTAATGTAAATTTGTTCATGATCGGTTGAATGGCCAGATTTAAACCCAAATTGTTTATTGTTAAGAATATTATTAATAGTTAAAAAAAAATAAAGTCTGTTATACATAACACGTTCCAAAATCTTGGAAAAGCAGGTAGGAATTGAGATTGGTCTGTAGTTTGAGATATCTGAAGGATCACGTGATTTATAGATTGGTGTAACCTTTGCACATTTTAAGTTTTCAGGAAAAACCTCGTGTTTTAACGATAAATTTAAAATATGTAAGAATGGTATTTTTATAAAACAAATTGATTTAATAATGACCTTACTACTAACATCAGTGCCCGGGCTTTCATTAGGTTTAAATAAAGAAACTTAATTTTAATAATTCATCATAATTATTCATTTCATAATTAAATATTTCAATTATTTAAGTATTAAGTATGAACGAAAGCTTGTCTGAGATGGTCCTATTTTAGAGGCTAAATTTAAACCTACATTAACAAAAAAGTTATTAAGTGTTTCTGCAACTATTGATTTATTAATAATTAAGTTATTATTAATTTTAAGATTAGTTTGGGGTGCATTTCGGTCAAGATTTATTTTGCCAATTAACTCTTTAATAATGTTTCATGTTTTTTGTGTACTGTTGTTTCTCGTTATTTTTTCAGAATAATAGTTTTTTTTTTAGCGTTTTAAAACAGATTAAAATAAACGTTTATAACTTTTATAAGTAGTTTTATTTATCAAAGTTCTTTTTTTAAGAAATTTACTTAATAATCGTTGTTTAATTTTGGAAGATTTAAGGGTTCGTTATCCATGGGTAAAAGCGTTTTTGATTTGACTAATTTAGTAATTCTAGGCATAGTCATAAGAAATAGATAGTCTGGAAGCACGGGCCGTTTTGACTGTTTTACCGTTTTAACTTAAAATTTGATATTCGGCCCGTTCACCCTGCACAACTTTAAAAAATGAGCAATGAAATTTATATAGAAACACAGCTTGATGATCTGTATATAGCAATTACTGATGGAATTTTTGACAATGACAAGGAAAACACTCTTGCTTAGTTGGCAGAAACATTTTTCCCATAAAAGTTAGCAAATGAATTTATTTTATGAAATTAATAAAAATCAAGACCTGACAATATTGCCTTTTCATAACAAAAATTTCCTCTCCTCCCCCCTACATTTGTACTTTCAGGTGCTTAATAAATGGGAGGTCATGTTTATCAATTTTCAAAAAATTTTCCCACTCACCTTGAGCTTATTAAGACCATCCTCCATTTATTAATTTTAACCGTAAATAATAAAAAAACTTAATC